TCTCTCTCTCTCTCTCTCTCTCTCTCTCTCTCTCTCTCTCTCTCTCTCTCACACACACACACACACACACACACCCTTTTGCACCAAAACCAGTAACAACAGGCCAATGGCCCAACAGAGTCAAGCCAGCACCATGCCTCCTGCTCTGTAGTCTGCACAAACTTATTAAAGCATGTTATAGTGGGGACTAGAGAGCATACTTCAAAGTCATCACTCAAGGTGAGATTGATGAGACTAAAAGGAAAGGGGCTGCTCAAAGGACCTTCTACATTTGGATACTCTAGCAGAAAACTAAAGAGAAGAGGTTACACTGACCTCCCATCTCCTGACACTTGGCAGGTATCATGTGATATCACAGTAAATCAGCACATTTTTTTTGAAAAGCTAAATAGCCTGACAAAGGAAGCATCCCATATATAAATTACTTGCCTCAAGGAGTAAGTAATTACTCCTCTCCCAAAAAACCTAAACTAAAAAGACTGAAGTGTGTCAGTATTTGAACATTCCCCCCACCCCCAGTCATGACTCCTACCAAGGGATGGAGAAAGACCCTGTACCTTTTACAGCTCTGAGTTTAATCCACGTGAAAGAATAGTTGCTCAACTCATACATAAAACAACAACAACAACAACAACAAAAAACCACTGAAGATCAAGACTGAGCCAACTAACCTTGGGGTTCATTGACCAACACCAGACATTTTAAGATGCCAGGAAGGAGTAGTTCAAGATCACAAACACCCCTGCTGGTTCCCTTGAAGAGCTGGAGGGTGAAGGCCAATACAGATGCTAATCGAGGAGGGGGTGAGGACCCTTTGAACTCAAGATAGGATTTCCTGAAAACAAGAAAATTTTATTTTACTTTTATTTCAAGTTTCAATTGAGCAGAATCAAATGCCATGCATATTAAAGACAGTGGAAAAATTTATTCCCTAGATAAAGTATAGTTTTAAACTAATGTATATTTACCGTGCTAACTTTACAGAGCATTTGGTGTGCTGTGTGCTCTAAAACCTAGTACAGATAATAAAATCTTAAGCAACCTCGTTTTAAAATGAACTTAACCGAACCTAACTGCTAACTTCTTTTCTCCATTTCCCATGTATGTCTCATATCCCATCAGTTTTACTAGGAATCAACACTTCCTCTAATGTCAAATTTGCATAAACAAATCTCCCCTTACATTTAGGGTCTTCTGTTTTTAAATAAATAAAAGGACAATGCTAGGAATTAGCTTCCAGTTCTAGCTTTATCTTTCCTTCACTAGGAAATTTAAAGAACTAATGTAAGACTGAATATCTTCTCTCCAGGCATGATAAACTGTAGCATTAAAATTCCACAGAGATTGCTAACAACCTCTTGACTCACCTTCCCACTCAACCACTTAGAACTGGTCCTGATCACCATTCAAAAAACCAGTAAGCGTCAAAGTACTGAGTTTCTTTAAAATATCTAGATGATATGAAAATTGGCCAAAAAATACTTAACATCCCCGTATGATAGTTTTAATTTTACTGGTGCTTGGGATTAACTTAGAACCTTGGACATGGTAAGCAAGCTTGCTGCTACTGAGGTGCATTTCCAGCCCCAAATACTATTCAATCAAAACTGACATACACATATGTTTGAAAACTAGAAGTAAACATAAAGGAACACAAGAACAACTATGGCTTATAAACTCATTCAAGAGACTATATAAATCACCCTTGTTCCACACACACAGTGACTCCCACAAATTTAACATCCTTGTCACAACCACCATCTTAGGCAGTGTTTTGTTTTGTTCTGTGCAGTGCAGAATTACTAATGCCCCAAATAAACATTAATTTGGTACATACTGAACACCAGGCGCAAATGTAAAAATAAGTATATAAAATTAAGTGAAAAAGAACAAACAACAGCCTCATCATCTAGTGGAGAAGTTAGTTGTGTCAATAAAAGGGCAATTTTAATATATGTGACTGGTACTTGGACAAAGAATCATCACAGAATTGTCAGGGATTCTGAGAAAGAAGCCCTACTCAAACAGATCACATAGTAGAAAGGTGCAGAATGGAGGGAACCATAAGAGACCAACTCTACTTATGTTGAATGTTGGAAACAAAAACTCAGACACCCTTCTAGTCAGCTGGAATCTAATACATAAAGAATAAAAGACATCCTTAATTACATATGAAGTAAAACAGAAATCTGAGTATACAGCTGGGATACTAACCAAGAGGCTTAATTTGGGTTTATGATTTGAATTCACCTCCCTATTTGCCATGGAGTTTATATTAAACAAGGCAATATCTCAAATGTAATAACAGATTACTACAATCTTACTGGAAATGCAGATCGAACTAAGACAAAACTATTCTGAACCTAAAAATTGGGTAAAAAAGACACGTGTTACCCTGTGGTATTAGTCACAGCTTGCATGAAGGACAAGTGGGTATGAGTGCCGGGGGATGGCATTTTAATGAAGAGACCGGCATGGACGAAGCTATAATAGAGGGAAGAATAAAGTATCTTGAGAGCAATAACCAAACCAGGGTCACTGGGACATATATAGGACAGGGACAGTATCAACAGAAAGATGAGTGACACACTTGGGCTAGAGTATATCACACACACAGGAAAAAGGAGTCAGCGAAGTTTTGGGAGCAGGAAAGTGTCAAAACTAATCTGGTAAGACTGGTGGAACACTTTTAATCCAGGTACTTGGGAGGCAGAAACTAGTGGATCTTTGTGAGTTCCAAGGCCAGGCAAGGTGACACTATGAGAAACTGTACTAAAAAGAAAAAGAAAAAAGAAAGAAAGGGGCAAGAGGGTTTTAGTTTTAGAAGAAAGACTAGATATAGTGATTAACATGGTGTAATGTGGTAAGAGAAATGGGAATGAACCAAGATAATAAAGCTTCTGGCCAAGTAACATGACTCTAGGAATGTATGAGAAACAGAATTCTATAACTACATCAGATCATTACAAAGATCAAGTCAAGGCTAGGAAGATGGCTCAGTCAGTAAAGTACTTGCCTTGTAATCATAAGGGCCTGAGTTCAGTTCTCATAAAAAACCAGGCATGGCTGCTTGAACTTGCAATCTCAGCAATACAGAGAGAGAGAGCCAGACAGACCTCGAGGGTTTATCACCAACACAGCTGCTGAGCAGTCTAACCCAGTGATGCAGGGCATCTCACAAACAAGGTGGATGATAACAAAAGACAGACCTCAGAAGCTGTCCTCTGGCCTCCCACGAAGGAGGGCCCCCACCCATCCACCTACCCACCAGAGAGAGACAGAAACAAGAGAAAGAAACCAAAATGAAGGCATTTCAACACAGAAACTTATTAATACTACATACCAATAATCTAGTCTCACAGAATCTCAAAATTTAGACAGTATCATAATTCTAATCACTACATGAAGACAAAGGAAGATAATTTCTATTACCAAATCTTCTAATGTTTGGCTAAAGGATATAGAGAGTTAGTAAAAAACAAAACAAGGAAACAAACAAAAACAATCATAAGAAATGAAAGCTGGAGAGACGGCTCAGCAGGTAAGAGTGCCTGCTGCTGTTGCACAGACACAGAATTTGGCTCTGTGCCCACAGGGCAGCTTTCAAGCATCCAAAACTCCAGTTCCAGGGGATCCGATGCATTCTTCTAGCTTCTATAGGCACCAGGCACGCACGCGATACAATTCCATACATGCAGGCAAAACTGACACATATATGTGAAAAATAAATCTTTTTGCATAAAAATGAATTAAAGGTGGGGAGTGGATGTTATTAAACCATCTCCACCCCTGCATTATTTCTATGGAAATGACACATACCTCCTCTGTCCTACACCTGGGCCAAGTTTGATGGCACTGTACCTTTCTCATTACTTCAAGGATAAAAATCAACAAAACATACCCTAGAATATTCTAAAATTAGAATACTTATATTTATTTATATTTAGAATATTCTGGGAAATATTCTTCAAACATCTTCTCAGTAAAAGTTAACTTTCTCCCCAAAAGAACCAGTTATTTTATCTAGCAAATATAACAATTATTTTCGTTGAATGAAGGTCCTCTAAAATAATTCAAAATGATCTGGTTTATGCTTATCTTCCCTCCCAGTAAAATCCTCACGTTTCCTTCAGAACAGTCATTTCTAAAGAACCATCAATCTGTCTACACCAATACCTTACTTTGGACTCATACATTGCACAAGCAAGTCACTGAGAATAAGAGTGAAGAAAGATAATCTTATGTTTTGGAAACTGCCAAGAAAATGCCACACATTTGCTGGTGTTCAGTGCTGAGGAGTCGGAAAATATTGTGTAGCAACAAATTCTCTAACTATGTTTTTTTATTATTTTTAATACAAAAAAAGGTCCTATGACCTGATGTCAACATGTATGAAACATTAAGTATCTCAGGTATTCTCTAAACAAAAGTATAAAGGAAGCTATAGTCTATAGTAAGGGAAATTCATGACTAAAAGTTGTATTTGCTGAAATATCCCAAATTGGAAGATGTCCCACATAATCACTGTTGGAGACACCCAAGTGACCTACATGAAGAATGGAAATGACTAGGACTCACACTAGTCTGCTGTTAAGCTGGTCTTCCTGTGGCTCTATTTGAGCTAAAAGAGTTTTAGTGAGAAAGAAGTGACAGCTAGGTCCATGGTGAGCTTCTGGGTCCCTCTGTCGCCAAGTTCCTTCTGAGTTCACTATGTCAACATTACCACTCCTGAAGAAAAACAGTGTTCAGGGCTCAGAGGAAGAGAGGAGTTGACCTATGCATTGATGAGGCCATAATTGACAGCAGATATTTTACAGAAAATATTAATACAAAACAAAAAATAAAAGAATTGACATATAGGTCTGAGCAAGTAACCTCAGCGTGAGCAGGCCCAAGCAAGCAACCTACTTGGGAACAGACCTAAACGACCACAGGATTGCAGAGAGATCCCCAGGAGCCCCAGGCTACCTCTAGCAATGCCCAGTGACCTGCAGGGTGACTGGAACCATGGCCCTGAATGCATCCCTAGGAGAAACCATCTGAGCCTTGAGTCCATTGACACCAGGAAGATTGATCAGAGACACAGCCCCAACTACACCAATCAGAGAAAAAGATAGGTAGATAAGGTAATAACACACAACACCACAAAGAGTAACACAACACCATGAAAAACCAGTGGTTCTACAACAGCAAGACTTGAACACACCAATATAGATGAAGCAGAAGAAAATGACCCAAAAATAAATTTAGGAAAATGTTTGAGCCCTTAAAGAGGAAATGAAAAATTCCCTCAAAATAGAGGAAAAGACAAACAAAAAATTGGAAGAAATCAACAAATCCTTTAAAGTAAATGAAGAAAAAGCAATCAAACAGATGAAAGAAACTATTCAAGACTTAAAACTAAAATAGAGACAATAAAGAAAACACAAACAGGAAATTCTGGAAATGGAAAATATGGGAAAATGATCAGGAATCACAAATATAAGTATAAACAGCAGAATATAAAAGATGGGAGAAAGATTCTCAAGTGCTGAAGATACAAAGGAGGAAATAGACTCATCGGTCCAAGAAAACATTAAATCTAACAAAAGCCTAACATATCTAGAAAATATGGGACACCATAGAAAGACCAAACCTAAGAATAATAGATATAGGAGAACGCTAGCTCAAAGGCAGACAATATATTCAACAAAATCACAGAAGAAAACTTTCCTAACTTGAAGAAAGTTATGCCTATGAAGATATAAGAAGCTTACAAAACACCAAATAGACAGGACCAATAAAAAAAAAAAGACCCCTCGCCATATAATAATCAAGACACTAAACATACAGAATAAAGAAAGAATATTAAGACCTGCAAAGGAAAAAAGCCAAGTATCATATAAAGGTAGACCTATCAGAATTACACCTCACTTCTCAATGGAAACAATGAAAGCTTGGTCCCGGTCAAGCGTTCTGCAGACATTAAGAGACCATGGGTACCAGCCCAAACTACTATTCCCAGCAAAAATTTCAATCACCAAAGATGGACAAAACAAGATATTCCATGAAAGAACCAGATTTATCCAATACCTAGCAACCAAACCCAGCCACACACAAAGTACTAGAATGAAAACTCCAACCCAAGGAAGTTGGCTAGATCAACAAAAACACAGATAATAGATGATCACAAAGCAGCAAATCCCAAAGAAGAGAAAAACACACACAATAACACCACCAACAACAAAAACTAAAACAGGAATAAGCAATCATGGGCCATTAATGTCCCTTAATAAAAATGAACTTGACTCACCTATAAAAGACACAGGCTAACAGATTGGATACAAATCCATCTGAAGAAGAACCCATCTTTTTGCTGCATACAAGAAACAGACCTCAACCTTAAAGACACAGTAAAGGGTTGGGAAGATGTAGGCCTCTGTCTTCCCTTGCTCCCTGGGATGCAAATCAAGGACTGTTTTGGCTAACCAGCTAAGCTTCCTGCTAAATTCTGTGCTCTGCTCTGCTAGCCTGGTGAATTAGCCTTAGGTCCTTGTATTACTTTGGAATGGTAATTTCCCAACCTGCCCATCCAAACAAAATAGAATATACCTCTCTAGCACCTTGTAGAACCTTTTCAAAAACTTCTACAACTCATAAACACCTTCTATAAATGTAGCAGGATACAAGAAAACTCGAAAAATTCAGTAGCCCTCCTTTACACAGATGACAAATTGGCTGAGAAAAAAATCAGAGAAATATCATCCTTCACAATAGCCACGAATAGCATAAAATATCATGGAGTAACTCTAACCAAACAAGTGGAAGACCTGTATGACAAGAATTTTAATTCTTTGAAGAAAGAAATTGAAGAAGACACCAGAAAATGGAAAGATCTCCCATGCTCTTGGGTATGTAGGATTAGCATAGTAAATATGACAATCTTACCAAAAGCAATCTACAGATTCAATACAATGCCCATCAAAATCCCAGCAAAATTCTTCACAGACCTCAAAAAAAAAAATAATACTCAACTTCATATGGAAAACCAAAAAAACCAGGATAGCCAAAACAATCCTGTACAATAAAAGAACTTCTGGAGGCATCACAATCCCTGACTTCAAACTCTACTACAGAAACTCTACTACAATACTGAAAACAGCCTGGTATTGGCATAAAAACAGACAGAAGGAAAAATGGAACTGAATCGAAGACCAGGATATCAATCCACACCCCTACGAATACCTGATTTTTGACAAGGAAGCAAAAAATATGAAATGAAAAGAAGATAGAGTATTCAACAAATGGTGCTGGCATACTTGATATTACCATGTAGAAGATGAAAATAGATCCATATCTATCGCCATTCATAAAACTCAAGTCCAAATGGATTAAAGATCTCAACATAAAGCAAACCACACTGAACCTTATAGAAGAGAAAGGGGTAGTATACGTGAACGCATTGGCCCAAGAGACCAATTCCTAAATATAACTCCAATAGCACAGACACTGAGAACAACAATTAATAAATAGGACCTGAAAAATCAACATGAAACTGAGACACTTCTGTAAAGAAAAGGACACTGTCAACAAGACAAAATGGCAACCTACAGAACTGAAAAAGATCCTTACGAACCCCACACTGGACAGAGGGCTGATCATCAAAATAAGAACTCAGGAAACTGGTCATCTAAAAAACCCCCAAATAATCCATTTTAAAAAATGGGTTTCAGATCTAAACAGAGAACTCTCAACAGAGTAATCTAAAATGGCTGAAAGACACCTAAGGAAATGCTTAATATCCTTAGCCATCAGAGAAATGCAAATCTTTGCATCAGAGAAAGATCAAACACACTGATGAGAACTATTGCTGGAGAGAATGTGGGGGTAAAGGGAATGCTTGTGGGAGTACAAACAGGTACAGTCTCTTTGGATATCAGTATGGCAATTTCTCAGAAATTAGAAAACAGCCTATCTTAAGACCCAATACTACTTTAAGGTATTTGCTCAAATGATGTACCACAAGGATATGTGCTTAGCTATGTTCAGAATAGCATTATTTGTCATAGCCAGACCATGGAAATAACACCAATGCCCCTTGACTGAAGAATGGATAAAGAAGATATGGTACATTTAAACAGTGGAGTACTACACAGTGGAAAAAAATAATGACACCTTGAAATTTGCAGGCAAAAAGATGGATCTAGGAATCATCATATTGAGTGAAATAACCCAGACCCAGAAAGACAAATATCATATGTACTCACTCAAAAGTGGCTTTTAGACATATAGCAAAGGAAAATCAGCCTACAATTCACAATCCCAGAGAATCTAGAGAACAATGAGGACCCTAAGAGAGACATACATGGATCTAATCTACATAGGAAGTAGAAAAAGGCAAGATCTGCTGAGTAAATTGGGAGCATGAGGATCATTGAAGAGGCTAGAAGGGGGAGGGGAGCAGAGGAAGTGAGGGGAGAAAAACAATTAAAAAAGGACTGTGTACGTGTTACTACAGAAATAGTTTAGGTATTAATGTTTATTATGATTTATATTAATTCTGTGTGACAAATAGGACCTAACAAGTGACAAAGTGTTCCCCAAAAGCTTATGTACTACAGAAGTGTCCTTAACTCGCAATGCTGTCATGAGGTCTCAGAAATACTAGAAGTGGTCTAGTTAGGAGAAGTAGGCCATTTGAGGTGTGTACTTCAGGGCTGTATCTTGTTCCCTCACCCTGTTCCTGTTTCCTTCTGCTCCCCAGAGGGAAGTGAGTGAGCAGGTCTGTTTTGTCATTGTTTTCCTCCTTTGCACAGACCTAAAAGCAGTGAAGCCAACAATGATCTAAAGCCAGGGGCCCAAATAAACCTTTCCCGCTTTAAGTTGTTTTTCTCAGGTGTTTTGTCAAAACAATGAAAAATTGACTAATAAACACGTGAAAACAAACAAAAAAATTCAGATAAGTAGTAAGTTAATAACATAAGACTTCATATTCTTCATCAACATTCATATTTTCAGTTACCTCTCATAAAGTAATTGTTACATACTATATTGTACAAAATATGATTTCTATTGTGATGAAAACCAGAGAAATGCATCTTTTTAAAAAAGTAGCTCTTATTTTTAATTTTTTATTTCATGTGCACTGGTGTTTTGCCTGCATGTGTTTCTGTGTGAGGGTGTCAGATCCCTGGTACTGGAGTTGCAGACAGTTGTAAGATGCCATGTGGATGCAGGCAACTGAACTGGCGCCCTCTGGAGGAGCAGCCAGTGCTCCTAACCACTCTACCATCTCTCCACCCCATAAAAATCTATGTTTAGGGAGGTATAGAAGGAAAGTAACAGTTACATAGTGAAACTAACACAATTTTAAAAGCAAATATAATATTAACAAATTAAACATTCTGGTGGGTTCTTCATTGAGAGCTGTCAAAATATCAGCAGTGGCTTTCCTATCATTTATTCCATAAAATGATAATCTATTTTCACATAAAGATTTTATATAAATGCTATGTGGGCTTTATTCATAGAGGAGTAAGGTAACAATACTAGGAAAAGAGAGAGATGTCTCTTCAGGTATAAAAATGAGCAAGCAGTTATAGCTGTGCTGTGGAACACTAGTAGATGTTAATAGACAAACTTTTAAATATATTTTTATTGAAATTAAGATATAATTATGTCGTTTTCTTCTTCCTGCTGCAACAAATTCTGAATATTTCCTGGGAAAAAGTTTTTTATAAGCTACCACAATATTGAGGGATATTAATATTTCTGAGATAGTATAAATTATTTTTGGATGCAATTAATAGCTTCTACATATACCTCTTTGCAATAACTTTATTACCTTATGGCATGGACAATGTGCTTCCTTAGGGGTGTCATTATTGGAAGAGAGACTGGGCTTCTCAGTGCCAAAAGAACAGGATGCTGTCCAAGATCTGAAACACTCGGTGAGGTGGGGAGAAAGCGCCCAATATACTGCTCAATGACATTCCTTAGCAACTGATTCAAGTAGGCATTTTGATTTTGAGATTGACAGCACACAATACATATGCCCTATAGAAGGGAAAATAAGCAAAAAGAGAAATGTCAAAAGGTGAAGTTTCAAACAGTGTGTAGGAACTTACTAATATGTTCTCCAGCACTAGTATTCATGGAAGAATGTGTACCTTATTACCATTAAATAGGACTTCTGGTATCATGAGTAAGTAAGGCAAACATGGCCCTTCTAGAGCTGAGTTTGAATAGCATACAGGTGGTAGTGGAATCTAACCAAGTACATATGTTGTGGAGGCATGACCAAAGGAAATGAAGGTAAGCATTCAGGAAGAGAAAGGGAATATTCTTCCTCTCGTCCTCCTGCAGAGAACACTTGACTACCATAATCATCAATTCCATACCCACGTCATTACTAAGTTATAAAATACATGTGTCATCGGTATTTTTCAAAGGATTTAAACCAAAGCTCAGTGTATCAGGAAGCAAAAGATAAAAGAGTAAAAGCCTGCCCCTCAGAGCGCGGACTGCTAATCCCACGGAGGCACAGCTGGGTAGGGGAGGTATCATTCAGTCATTTTGGCTAAGAACATAATACTTACCCTGAAATTTTGTCATGCAAAGAAATAAGATCATTTCTTAACAATTCATAATGGGAGGGGGATGCTGATGCTTAGATCTCCCAAGAAGTTTTTCTATATGCTACTGTGCCAAGAACTTTACAGTCATTATTTCATTTCAATTTTTAGAACAAAGGAGTTAATATCATATTTCCATTTTACAGTCAAGGAAACTGAGGTTCAAAGAAATTAAGAACTTAATAGAAGTCACAAGAACTCATTATACCTTGCTGCATGTATCTTGATATAATCCCTTCCATATGTATGCAGGTTAGCAAGATATTCTCAAAACAATATTTAATACTTACAAATAATTAAATCCATTCACTAAGAAGAAGAAACAATTTTCTGCATGTTTATTAAGACTCCATTGTAGCCATAATTGGATGTTATCTAGTAAAAAACTCTAGGAGTTCATTTGTAGTGAAAAATAGTATAGAGCCACTGAAATATTGGCAAGAACATAGTTAAAATGAACAATGGTAGAGCCCGCCTGCTCAGTTTTGAGTGCTTTAAGGAAATAGCACAGCAAGAAGTTGGCGGCAGAAAGAATTCACAGATCCAAAGACAGCAGAGCACCTTTAAAAATTAAAGATGCAGCTTCCTAACAGTTCTGCCAAATGGATAATTCAACAAAAACCTCATTGTATTTCTTAAGCAACATCTACTAACAAGTAAACTAGTTGTAAGAAGACCACATAGAACAAACATCCAGACTTTCCTGGTACTCTCAACTCCATTCCATACATTTGTTCTCCCATGCAACTGAGGGCCAGGTTCCTACTCTTTGTTATTCTGCTTGGCATACTCAGCTTTGACACAAATACCAATATGAACATATAATTACAGTAGCTTAAAACTTCTCAGGAATCTCAAAACTTTGCTTTAAAAAAGAATCTGCTATGGGAGACTATGCTAACTTATCAAACTCTGCTCCTCTCTGCCTCCCCTTCTTTAGAGAATCTCAAATTTAGAAAGGTCTAACTTTCAGTATCACACACTAATGAAAGAGACCAGTACTTCACACTGCCCATGGGATATCATTTACACATTTACACATTCCAAATCACGTCAAACTAAAGCTATTAAAGCCGGCTTTTTCTATATGTATTCCTGGCTGGCCAGGAACTCCTGCCTCAGCCTCCCGAATCCTGGCACTACAGGTATGTATCACCATGGCTGTTTCTTTACAATCTTCCAGTTCAGTTACCAGCAGCACTTTCCAGCCACTATCAGTCTTGTCTAAGATGCATTCATTCATTTCTGTTTTTCTCCCACATTTAGTAATGTATTTTTAATCAGAGTTCATCAGTGTTTCTGACATCTGCACAGGCTCTAATCTCACTGCTTAGTTTAAACCTTCTAGTAACGTGTGGAGTATTTCAATGAACTAGTCACTGCCTCATAGGTCTTAAATCTAACTCCCACACCAAGATCATTTTCCCAAATACAAGCACAACTCACACTTCTTTGCTCACAACCAACGCTGTGCATGCATGAGATGGAGTCCAAATTTTTGGCAAGGAATATAAAACTCTCTATCATATGTCTCTTCTGATGTGATTTTCCAGCTGCAGAAGAATGATTTGTATTTCCCCAGTGTGCTAGATTTTCCTTAAAGCTCTTGACCTTGTCTAGGTTACTCTGACAGGAATGGCCCTCTGACTCCTAGGCATTCTGCCTTCACGCCCAGAGTTCTCTGTGCTGCTTTTCCGTCTTTTCACCCCAGTCTGGCTCTCACAGAACTAAGGTCTCCAAGGAAAATACTGAGTGAGCTTCTGAAACCTTTTGAACTCCTTGCCTTCATTCCCAACTCGAGCTTCTTGAAAATTTGCCTCTCTCACCTTTGTTTCCAAAGCCAAACCCAAAAGGCATTCAAAACATTTTTAATGGATGTGTCATATGCAAACAGTACTTTTGAGATCACAATTTCTCCAATCTGTATTTTGAAGCATGCTTTGAGGCAGTGTCTACGCTGGGTATACCTGGAGATACAGAGGAAGACTATTCTGAATTGCAGTCAGCATTGGAGCAGGCAGCTCCTTTTCCTGTTGTAATACCGTGTGCGGCAGCAGTAAACAATCTATGATCCGAAATAGTAGCTTCTGTGCTTTTGAGGTGGCAAAGATTTGTGCCCATGACTTAACAAGAATTCCTAATAAAAAAGAAAAGTAGGTTTGGTTACAATTATTTCCTAATCAGAACATTTCTGCTACTCTATGTAAAAAATGTACTTTATTATAGCAACAAGTCAAAACAGACAGCAGGAAGAAATATATGCCTAGTGAAAAGACTTACATTAAGGCATCCATTTAATTCTTCACTAAAAGAGTACAAATGAAATGCATTGGCATAGCAAAGACAAAGTCTACTTGGAATGTAGCTAAAGTGGGAACTATAGGGATGGGTCCTTAAGGGTCATCAGTATAATATCAACCAGGAAAGGGGGGAAGAATGCACAGAAACAGGGATGGTGAGATGCAGGTCAGGGAAAAGAAAACTATGAGATACAAAGAATGGGAAATCTAAATGAAACCAAGACCATGTTTCTCCTATCTACCCTCACCCTCAGAAAAACAACGTGAGGAAAGTTGGGAAACCACTGATGTATCAATTTCTCTTTGTCAGAAATCACTCCTATATTAGGATCTCAGACACTCTTCTTAACCTGGAAGGCATTTTTAGTGACTTCCACTAACAGCCTTATAAAAAACAAAACACACACACACACCAGAGGTGTCCTGAGCTAGGAAATGGCAAGTTATTAGCCCCTTCCTATGGCTATGATATCCCAACCCTAACACAGGCTCAAACTCTTAAGGAGTTATACTTGCTCTTTCTCCATTCTGTTTTAAGTCTTTCAAGTTACTTGATCTAATTTCTAATGGAAAAATGAGTAATTATTAGCTACGTAATCTATTCTTACCCTTTGAAACCTAGGCAAATGGAGAGAATCTAGCTCAACACGTATGCAAAAAAAAGAGCTCAGTGCAAAACAACAAAGAAAGCCCTCAATTTTTCATAAGCAAAATTTTGCCCAAATGCACACATGATCAATTCATAAGGGATTCTGTGATTCTTGATACAGCTATCATGTACTATGTAATGGAAAGACATACTCTGTAATCATCAATTTACCTTGGGAAAAACTAAATCTGAAAATGTCAAGCAACTTTCTTAGAGACTAGTAAGTCATAAGCTTGACTTGCTAAAATAATCACATAGATATTACTGCTGAATTGGTAATAAACCTCCACCTTTTTTCTAAAATTAAATAATCTAAATTGCAAGTACTGCTTTCATTACCTTCTACATTATCCACATTTCCACAGCTTCACAGTCTCCTTTATCTTTCACAACAAAGATAAAAGGTTTCAAACATCCCAAATAAGGTTTATTTATACATCCTCAAGATTAAAGGGAATAGATACAAGGTTTGGGCCACAGAGAAATAAAGAAAATTCAAAACTTAAATTCTATATAAAACTTCTAAGGGAATATTTCTCATTTCCTTTTATTCTTTTCCTATTTTGGTTAGCAACATGGTTTAGTCAACAAAGATATTCAGATTACTAACTTCCTAAAGAAATATGAACCCCATCGTTATAGAACAAGCACAAAAAGATTTCTATTGAAAAAGAAACCAGTTTGTGAAGAGTAAGATTAAAAGCAGCAATGCCACTGGTATTATACTAAGTATCTCTTGGGACGGCCCTCTCCACGCAATACTAAGTATCTCTTGGGACGGCCCTCTCCACGCATAGGAGACCACAAGCAATGAAAGGAAGTGATGGCTTTCTGGTGTTTCAACTTCTACCTAAATGTAGGTAAACATTAACAGAAGGTTCATTTTAGAGGTTTGGGTATTATAATTTGTCTGAAATTATCACCAGCAGTTAGCTTAGAAATATCTTCTGCTATAATCACGATATTAATATTAATAAGAGCACAGCAAATAATGAGGGACAGCTTGAACTATTTTAAGCAAACCACTGTATTTAATACTATCTTATACCTCCACAAAGAGTTAAGTGATTTGTCGTTTATTTCTTTTTCCATTTGGGTCATAATGGCTTGAGTTAAGAAAATGTTTCTAGCAAAAACATGTCAGAAATACATACCCATAATTCCATAAGTCAGCTGCAACCCTGCACAGGAAATTTTTTTTCCCAAATAAGGCTTTATGTATTTTAATACTTCACCAAGGTATTCTAAGGACTTTGTGACCATGGCAGATTTATCAGAAAATGTCTGGAGACTCCCGTAAGTCTTACCAACAGCCTATAAATAAAGGAAAAGATGATATAACTTTCCAAGTATTATACAATACAAACCTTGAAAACTAACTTCTTCCTTTTTCCTCACTATACACATACCTTATTAAACATCAGCCTTCATCCTTAAATTTCCAACAAAGATTCACAGCAAGTAAAACTTTAGTGAAGAATTATGTCTTGCCTTTTATAATTAAAGGTCAAAGGAAGAATACTTTCAAAAATAAATTCCTTAGTAATTATTTACAGAATATCTGATTCAGCAAAATCATTAGTGAGGAGAAACATCTAACTGTTATACAAGAAGCCAGTAATCAAGTAAAGCTTTCTACACAGACTGGCTCATAATTCATGACCGGAAATCTCCAGATTCCTACAGGAAAGAGTTGCAAGTAGCATTACCAAATTCTTACAAGTATAACTCTTAACTAAGCTATATTATGTGAACTGATGTGCTTCACAGTTTACAACTTAAAGAATATTCTTCAGGAGCCACCGACTAGCCAGGTTAATGTTCTGCGTGGAGGAGATGGAAAATGTGGGTGAGAGGCTAAAGATGGGTCAACCGAGAGAGGTGGTCAACAGAAACATGAGGAGGGACATTAAGAAAAGAAAGAAAAAGAGATAATAAACCCAACAACCTCTGAGGAAGGTGAGGGTAAATAGGCTATATGAAGCTATAAAAGACAAAGAGGTAACTATAGAGATGGGTCAGAAAGCTTGAGAAAGCTTTAAACCACTGTGGAACTCACAAAGGCTTTCAGTGGCTTACGTGACAACATAAATGGCACCAGTGTGACCATTCTTACTGGCTCCTAGTGGATAGAGGGCAAAGCACAGAGGTGTAAGCAAACAATGAGAGAGCACAGATGCTGAGAGCACTGTTAGAGCAGCTGACATCAGCTCCAAGAGGACTGATTAAGTTGAATAAGAGAGGAAGCACAGCCTTGAGGGGCTAAATGGATGTAAGTCACATGGAATGAAGAAAAGCTAAGAAATTCAGTGAAGTGGGCAAATGAGAAGAGATATATCTTATTAAACCTTTTTTATTTAGCTTTCTGTCCTTTAAACATTTCATTCTTCAGAAGGTCACCAATTTTTGACCACAGTTCCCTTGAACACATGCTAAGCGTAAGTGCCTTGAAAAACTTTTATAGTTTAGATCACGACACTCACTAATTGGGAACCTACACTTTCTCAAGGAGAAAAAAAGGAGCTAGGAGGAGACTAGTGAAAGCACCATTATTGAAGAATCCGAACTCACAAATACAGATAGCTAGAAAATATCTTGAGAGATGTTTCAAATAACTCGGAAGCTTTCTTTCCTAGTATGCCAAAATTTTCAAGTGATGTTTCTTAAAGGACAGTAGTGACTAAATTGGATACTTTCATTGACTTTAAAGCCACATTAATAAAATGAGTTCAGTAAATTTGAATAAAACTTTTACCTATCAATGCTTACTAAAATGCACTTGGAAATTTGAGAAAGTTAATGAGTGATATTGCTTCCCAATATTGACATTTCTATACTGGAAAAACAAACACAAACACATACACACTCACACACACACACACACACACACACACACACACACACAAAATCCAGAACAAAAAGATACACATTCACACTGTCCCTTTCCTTGAGAAGTCTCTAAATATCGGGAAGCTCTCAGCTCATGAAGATTCATGCAAATTTCCTAAATTCTAATTTTTTTGAAAAGCTGAACTACATTATTAGCAACAGACACTGTCAGTTGTTTTCTTTGAAGTGATAGGCTTCCTTACTTCATTTCTGAAAAAAAGAAATGTCTGCCAAATGCCCAAGTCTGAATAGTCACATTTTGTCATATTTCTTTCAAGATAAAAGCAGGCAGTTCAGCTTGCGACTCAAGTGCTCAGAGGCTCGTCCTTTAGACAAGGCACTGCTTTGGCACACTGAGTCCTTCACTTGCACTCTGCATTTTCATTTGGAGAATGAGATTGAGGGTTGGTATTTGCTAAAATTTAAATTTTATTTCCTAATTAATGCTTTTCTTTTAAATGAACGAGCTCAACTTCTCTGTGAGTGCATAAAACATACGTTCTAAATAATCCGAGGGGGTTGTGTATGCTAAGACGCTCACAGGATTTGAGCAAATTTGTCAGTATAGTATTGAGATTGAGAACATCTTGAGACGGTTCAGTAACTCCCAGCAGTCTATGATCCACACTTGAATATTAGTGACCATAGCACTTCAATAACTATATTTAAACTTCCCCAGACTAAAAACTATGTATTTCCGTATATATATATAAATGTGCCCACAGAGGCCAAAAGAGCACAGTGAATCCCCCAGAACTGGAGTTAACTGGTTGTTAGCTGCCATGTGGGTGTTGAGAATTAAACCTGGGTTCCCTGTAAGAGCAATAAGTGATGTTATCCAATGAACCATCTCTCCAGTACCATAGTGTGTTTCTTAGTACTCTGATAGTAACTTCTCATATATCATATCATGCTGTTATTTTTATGCAGAAAAAGCACATTAAGCCAAACATTGGTACTTTATAAAAAAAAAAAACTCCACTTCTAAGAATGGACCTAAATTGGTGCTGGGGCTTTAGATTTTTGGAGGACTTCACACTATGATTCTCTTGAATCACATAAAAATGGCCTTACCTTAATCCTGTAAAATATCCCTGCAATGAATAGGTTTTATAACTGGACACCTGCCTTCATTCTCCAAGTCTAGAATTCACCAAAGGGAATATATGTAACTAGGAATGGACACTGAGTGCTAATGAGTTTCTCTGGTCAACAAAATCTGATGTTTTGGCACAAATTATTGCTCCAGAATTAACTATGTCCTTCACTGGGAAGACTCCCAGAAGGTGTGTGTATATGTGTGTGTGCGTGTGCGCGCGCGCTTGAGTGCCCATCCAGATTTCATTCCATGCACCTTTCCCCTGTATTTGGTACTTTTTGATCCCTTTTCTAAGACAGGTAAAAGTTGCTACATGAGAACTACAGGAAATCTGAAATCTACCCTAAGGAGCAACATTCGTTCCTTTCAATTTCTCCTAAATGTGTACCATAATCTATATTACTTTTGCTAATTTTCACAAGGTCAAATCAGACTCACCTAAAAACTTTATGCTCTTTAAAAGATAAATTCTAAATACTTTACATCAAGACACTCTGACTCTTTCCTACTGATGAAATCTACTGACAGATTGGCATTAAGTATTTAAACACATTGTATCATTAGTTTAACCTTTGTGTATCTTAAATTCTCAGATCAGTAAACCTCTTCTTAGATCAAAGACTACTTTAGGTTTTTCAAATCCCTAAGGAGCACTAGATAATGCTACAGCATTTTGCAAAAACCTATCATTGATTTATTGATAAAAAGAAAAATTCATTTAGGCTGGTTTAAATTAGAGGAGATCGAACTGCTAGTGGAAAGTCTGCCTTCTAACTCCTTTTTTGATCCAAAACTGTTGGACAGACTCACTTAACAGCCATATAAAATATTCAACAAAAATTTGTATTTCCCATCTGCATATTATTACGCTATTATTAGTTATCATTAGAGTTTACAGACATCTCTGTTTGTTACACAATTATATTTTAACTTACTAGAAATCAAAGGAATTAAGTGAGTTAACAATATGGAAATAGCTTATTGGTTGTAATTATTTTCATACAAATAGAACCATATTTTCATGTAGTTAATATCAACGTACTCGAAAGTAAATCTACATTTATTGTGAATAATTTACTAAAGACAATCATTCAAACATTAATAGTTTCAGCTAGGCTTATGAAATAAATACCATCCTATGTTACATTTCTTTAAAATTAATCAAAACTAAAATTTTGAAAGGAACTTAAGAAGAAAAATTAAAAGAAATGTATTAGATTTTCAAGTTCTAATTGTATTATGAACTAGTTGGTGCTAACGCTTACAGTATCAATGCAGGGTAGTAAATACTTAGCTGGAATCATCAGAGACTCAATATGTTTATAACAAATACAGTTAGCACCTGGATTGTTACCAACCAATAGCAATAAGATAGTATTTCATTTCAGTTGGCCTTGAAAAACAGCTTCCATATATTCTTTCTTAGGTTTTCATTCTTCATTAAGTATGAATTTCCTGCTGTCTTTAGAGTGAATAGTCTACCTTGGAGCAACACTTCCTTTCTTTCAGAAGTTTACAATAAAAGGCAACCAGTAATATGACTCACTTTATAGAAAAAAATTAATATTTAAAGATTTTTCATTGATTATTTGGAAGATAACACTAATAAATGAAAAATACCTCCAGGAACTGAATAAGTGCTTGTTTGGGGTCTTCTGGGCTGGGCAAATGGTCAATTTGAGCCTGTGAGAAGATATTCTTTACTTCTGAGAGTTTAAATAGTAACCTTGTCATTTCAGCCAGCTGTTCCATGTACTCCTTTTCTATTAAAATAAGGGAATAATCATGATTATTCTATAAATATGCAATAGAATATAAGTTGCCCATACACTGGTGTGCATACACACATGTGCTGGAAATACACCTTCGTTTCTGAAATATGTTATGCAAATTTTCACAAAGGTAAAAACTGAATTTAGGCTTTTTACAATTAACCTAATCCAGAAAGTTATTTAGGTCAAACAACTACACAAAATATAAGAGCAAAAATATAACCTTTTCTGGCCAGTCTGAGTGAAACTTATGACAGGTTACAAACATTAGCCTTTAAAAAGGTATATTCCACACAAAACAGAACTGTAGGGACTTTAAAATGCACAAATATCTTCAGTGGCTAATAGTAAAATAGAAAAACAAACTATTTCATAAAAATAGTGCAAAATATTTCTAGCTGGGTATTCTTTTTAAGGTACTCAGGCCGGGCGGTTAAATCCCAGCATTAGGAGGCAGAGGTAGGCGAAGCTCTGTGAGTTTGAGCTAGCCTGGTCTACAAGAACTAGTTCCAGGACATGCCCCAAAACCATATAGAAACCCTGCCCCCCAAAAACCAAAAAAATAAAAATAAAAAAAGGTACTTGGTGTGTAAGTATGTACTTCAGATATATCATTGTCTTCTTCAGGGGAAAAAGCAGTGTGTCATCCAAGGAGCAAGTTTTGTCCTTAGCGCCAAGGAAACATTCTTTTAGCTTTGTAGCAGTTGGTATTTGCCATATGTAGTTAAAAATAGAGTAACAATAAAAAATAGACTACAAAAGTATTTTATACATATATATTCATAGCTAACCATATTTTGAATATTTGATAGTAGTTTATTTAATCCATATGTACCCCCTGAATGCCTTATATGACACTTACCCACTGCCTGTTCAGAGTTCATATCAATTAGCAAATCAGGTTCAGAGAGGTGTCTTACGTGCATTTGCAAAACACAACGGATCCACGATCTTATAGTCAAGGACTGAAAGGACATGCAGCTTGACTGAGAAAGTGCTTCACACACTGTGCTGTAGAGACAAAAGGGAAAAGGGATGTACCGAGAGCAGAGCTTGTAATGAACACATCCCTTGGCTGTGCTGACTTCAGATGAATACAGTACTTCAGAAATCATGCAGATGTACATGAAAAGATCTGTTAAACATCTTTGTTTTCATTTTGCATATTATAATTTTTAATTTTCCTTTTCTACTGGTGGTGTATCTATAGATTTAGGCCAAGAGAAAAATTTAGGAAGTATGGAATAACAAGAATGTAAAAATTATAGGCATTATGATAATGTAAGCAGAAATAAATACAAAGAACAGTAACAAACAAAAAATGGCACTATCAATAGCAATTAAACAGAAGAGGTCAAGACAAAAAGCTGGTTAAGGACAATATATTTCTACATGTCTCGACAGAACAATTATGTTTCCATCCTCTTATGTTCACTTTATAAGCACTCATTATCAAAGATAGTAACAGAAAATTCTAAAATACTGCCCCCTGGGAAGCAAACAAAACCTCCCTCCTTTTAAGCCAAACACATACCTGAGTCTAAATTCTAATTTATGAGGGGCTCCTGGTGACAGAAATGACAGGTATAGATTTATCTTAAACATAGCATTTTGCAAAGGCAAAGCCATTTTTTTCTTCTTATTTTGTTTTGATATATGTACAAGCATAGAAACCAAAGGTTTTGTTGGGATGTCTTTCTTTATTACTTTGTCATATTGTATTTTGAGACAGATCACCTGAAGCATGCCATTTTGGGATGGCCAGCACGCTCCTATGGTCTGCCTACTTATATATATCCTAGTACTTGGGTTACAGAAGGTCACTTTTTCCCAGAGTACTTGGGATCAAACTTACGCCATTAGTTTTGTAAAACTAATATCTTATCAACTAAGCCATCTCCTCAACACCTAAAACAATGCATAATTAATTAATTAATTAATTAATTTTTAGTCAGGGTCTCAATATGTAGCTCTGGCTGTCTCAGAACTTACTATATAGACCAGGTTGGCTTTAAATTTGGAGATCCACCTGCCTCTGCCACCAGAATATTAAGACTAATTCCTGGTTTAAAACTATTTTTAAATGTACATAAATCAGAGTTTAAACATTTTGAATAGAAGTTTTCCCTAAAAAGTATATAATGCAGAAACACAAATCGGACATTTACTACCAATATAACTTTCTTAAAACTAAAGTTTCTTAAAGCTAAACTTTCTAAAACAACTCTGTGTTTCAGTTTCTTCAACCATTACTAATAAACACTGTTTTAAGAATAAACACTAGTGTACATACATAAAAATACATATACCCAAACCAGGCAGTGGTGGCACACGCCTTTAATACCGGCACTCAGGAGGCACAGGCAGGCAGATTCTGTAAGTTGGAGGCCAGCCTAGTTTATTTTGCATATCGAAAGTAGTAGACCTCATGTCTCCAAACAAATACATTAAATTACATTGTAAATGCTATCACTATCATTTGGATTACAATGAGAAAAGAGAGTTGAGAGGCCAATGAACATTCAAGGGAGGCAGAAAAGAAGGGCTAGATCAGAGGGCTAAGCCCTACCATAAGCAGTGTCGTGTTGAGGAAAGATAAACAAGGAAGACCATCAGGGTACATGAAAGAAAAAACTCCAGTGGCAGCAGTTGCTTCTCAGAGAAGGGAAGCCTCCTGCCCAAAGTTTATGCCCAAGGAGAACAGGAGAAATGAAATACTAAAGATCAAAGACAAAGGAAAAAAAATTTGAAAAAGAAAGGTACAAGTCTGCTTTGCTAGTGACAACTTTATGAGAACATCATCTAATCATGAAGGTTGTTTAAGACAATGGACCTACTTCGTAAGAAGGCCCAGGTACAACATTTGAGCTGAAACCAATACTTATGTGAAAAAGAACCCATCATCCTCACAACGTACAACCCTGGGTTTAAGTACCAAAGCTATAGCTGGGGCTTTTGGCTGAAGAACACAAGCTCATTTGGAAAAAATAAGCCAAGTCATCCTGAAAACAACAGAGCTCAAACGTGGTCTTGCAGATTCATATAACTCATTATAGTTACAAAAGACAGGAAAATGTCATCACTGTGAAGTTTCTAAGTAACACCACGCAGCCTTATATATGTGCAGTCATCAAGAGAAATAGCCATTCAATTGTATACTTTTTTAAGGCTCAGTTTTACAAACTGGTCTTTACTTTGGGACCTAAAGGCTTGTATGTTAAGAAAATTGAGTGACTCAAGAGAAATGAATAAATAAACATTCATTATTATTAGAGAATTCTCATACCAGAAGTTCTAAAATGCTGAATTCTCTTACTTTATGAGTCAAAGCCCAATGAAAAAACATAAGTTTCACGATGCTGACTAATCTCCTTAGAAAACAACTGACTCACTACATCACTCTTCATTCACTGACTGGCAGCTGGTACAAGAACTCCTCATGAGGTCTCTCAGGCCTGGGTGATGATTTCACCCTCTTCATCATGATGCTTTTATGAAGTTCCCACATTGTAAAACACTATTTCTACAGCAACTTTACCTCATTTTTTAATATATCTGTCTCTATGTATTACTGAGGTTGTTCCTCATAGCCTCTGCAGGACAGGGCAGGAGACACAGGCAGATTAAACAACAACAACATGACTGAACTGGAGTGCATGGTTCATGATCAAATCTTTAAAAGTCAAATCTTTAGTTTTAGTTAAGTCTAAATCTACACTAATATGCCAGTGTTTCATTGATCCAGCAATAATACCTATACAATTTTTTCTCCCTCGGGAATACAAAAAGGTCACTTAAAGATAATAAAGCAGGATTATTTGAGTGCAGACTTATAACAATCAATCTCTCTCTCTCTCTCTCTCTCTCTCACACACACACACACACACACACACACACACACACACACACACACACACCACACCACTTAATTGAGATTTCATACTACCTGCTATTATATTGGTAAAATGTCTGCCAACTGAGAGGATATAAAGTACAGATTAGTTTTCATTAGACAAATTCTTCCAGGATACTGATCAGGACTAGACTAAGGAGTATTTCTGAAATAAAGGTATATACCTATTTTGTAGCAAATGACTTAAATATCTTGCTACAACTTGAGGCCAGATGATATCATCCCAACCAAAAAGCTGAATTATTGATATAACGGGCTGAGGCTGAAGATCTGATGGTGCTGTGTTTGGCATGTCCACTGCGAGCAAAGTAAAATCTAGATTTAAAAGGAGAGAAAGTTCAGATGGGACATTTTTTAAATCTTCCCCTCACCTTTAATTCCAAGGAATTTAAAAGCCCCAAATAAAATAGAAGTTTCAGAAATGTAACTTGAGGTAAATTAACATTTAACACTGTCAAATATCTGTAACCCCATCGTGATCTCTGAAAGGTCTAACAGCATCTAGCTTAGTAGCATTACAGGCATGGCTCCCTCAAGTCAAGTCAGTGGGTTTTGGTAATCTGTCTCCACCATTCAAAGGCCCAGGTAAAATCATTTCCAGCATCTCCTTTGCTTTGACCAAGTTAATTTACTTGCCACCTGCCACACGTGCTAATGCTCACTGTAAATACCAACCTTTCTCTTCTATTAAAGACTGGTCTCCTATGATCAAAGACACCCACTTTTTCAGCACCCACAACCTAGAAGCTAGAATTCTTTATGTTACCACTTTATGTTTTCCCGAATTCGTCAACTCAGTCTGTAGCTATGGCAGCAAAGCAACTATCCTGAGGCACTGACTCCTAGTAGGCTTTCTAGTGTGGCTGTGCGTCCTTCCACTCACCTCTTCCTACTGAACAGACAGGGGAGGTTTACTTCTTGTTCTACATTGCTACTTCTAGACCATTCTCATTTCTTCCCCCCTAAAATGTCTAGCTTTAAATCTCTTATACATCATCAAACTATACTAGCAATAAATTCTTCTTGGTGCATATCCCAGTTTCCTAGGTTCAAAATCTCCCTAATAGCAGTTTTGCCGTGAACTCTTGTTCATTTGGAATTCCTGTATTCCACTGATCTATTCTCTGTTGTAGTTAAAGTACTCCCACATTGATACCCAAAGCACTGGGCATTATCAATTATAACCTCTGTATAATTTCATTTTTAAGAACTTCAACGGGCGGTGGTGGCGCACGCCTTTAATCCCAGCACGCGGGAGGCAGAGGCAGGCGGATCTTTGTGAGTTCGAGGCCAGACTGGTCTACAAGAGCTAGCTCCAGGACAGGCACCAAAGCTACAGAGAAACCCTGTCTCGAAAAAAAAAACCAAAAAAAAAAAAAAAGAACTTCAATAGATTTGCTTCCCAGCTTTCCTCTTCTAGGATCTGAACTCTAACAATTCTTGGCTTATAACAAATCTACAGTCCTTCATACTATATAGCTTTTCCCCATCTCTCTTCTGCTTTCCTATCTTCTTTTCCTTCTTTAGGAAGTTTGGTGACATAGTCCATGGCTTATACACTGTTTTCCTTTAACAGTCATGTTCCTCAATCACCTTCAATCAGTTCACTGATGCTCTTCAGAACTGGGAGGATGACGCAGTGGAAGAGCACTTGCTGTGGAATCACAGGGCCTTCAGTTCTAATCTTGAACAGCCACATGAAAGCGGGGCAAGGCCTTGCACGCCCACCATCCTGGTGACAGGTAGATCCTGGGAACGCTCCAGCCAACTGGCTTACACTTCAGCAACACATCGTGCTTTTGTAAGGCAGAGAACTACAGAGGAACTCACCCAACTCCATATGTACAGAGCATTTGAAACCCCCCCCCCCACAAAAAAAACATTCTTCAGGTTCTGGTGATTTACTTGGCCCTCCTCCCTCCTGTTAAAGGCAATGGCTGATTCTCAGGTCACCTTTTCTTGGGCCCTTCCCTTCCTAGTTTTGAGGGCACGGGGCATCACCCTTTCTTAGATTGTGTCTGACCTGCACTCCTTTCCAGTGTTCTTTTTTGCTTCTCCTTAGACTACAACTCTCAAGCTAGAAATACACTGTGAATTGATCCACACACACCTTTTCTCTCCATTGATTCCTACACTCATGAAGGCTTTAACCAGTCTCTTGGTTTTAAGGACTATTTATCCATGGATAGTTTAAAGACAAACCTCCATCTCAAAAAATGTCTGGGAAGCCTAGCTTATTACAGACAAGTTCTTATTCAACGTAGTTGATTTTAATGGATACCTTATATCAAAATACCCACAAATTTAAGAATTGTCAGTTTTCTGACACAAAATAGTTCCTTCATAATTTTCTTATTTCAGCAAATTGCTAGTTACTCTTGACTCCTCTCATGAACTATTCTGATTACTTTACCTTATTTGCTTAGCAAATTCTGTCATGTCTACCTTCAAAATACCTTTCCTTCCTTTAGATCTGACCATTTCTGACCATCTACACTACAACTTTAATCAAGCTGATTTGGGTTGTTTGAATAATTTCCTAACTGCCCTAATTCCCTCTTTGCTTCCCTTTGTCTCACCCAGAAGGATTATATTTCCTTTTTTGAAAAAATACCAAATTTCTAATCTCGAAGTAAAAATGGAAGTCTTTACACTTCTTAAAAAGGTAGAGCACAGCCTTTCTATTACTAAACCACATCTCAGTCTCTCACCCTTTCCTGCTCCACCTAAGCCTGCATCTGCTCCCTTTAGTTCCCTAAACACTGTTCTTTCCCTCTCATGTCCTCCTCATTCAAGTCGGTGCCCTCCCTCCCCCGCCAGCAGTCTATTTAAAACTGCAGCCTACCTTTTGCCCCCTCCCCATTTTGGTTTGTTTTTGCTAGAGGTAGTGTTTGTTGTTCAACAGTAATCCAGATTTGGGAAACTGAGTCATGGGGATCACAGTTCAACCAGCCTGGGCTACAGAGCAAGACTCTCAGAAACAACTGCAACAAATTATCTTTGGTCCCTCTGACTAGATCACAATCTCTGTGAGAACACAGTTTCCTTGCTTGTGCTACCTCCCACTGGTATATTCCTCTACCTACAGAAGCTACTTTTTCTTAAATGAAGGAAACAACTCTCTCTCAACCTAAGTCTACTCCAAATCTGAAATCTACAACTTTGACTCTGGATTTATTAGGCATTTTACCTAGGACAGTGCCGACTAAATCAAGACAATACTACTTTTATTGATGGTCTAGCATTCTGGATGACAGAATACACTTCAACTTGTATACAACCAACTTGCAATACAACCAACATGGATTATCAGACACCACACTAGTTGGAAACCATGACCTTACCACAACATTCTATCTATACTTAAAGTCTTAATGTACTTTGGACAAAGTCTGAACTCTTGGCAAGATTTCAATTTCTTATCCACTTTTTAAACATTCATTCCATTATTTATGGACTTTTTTAGTTCATCTTTCCTCATCAATTCGAGAATAAAATAAATACTGATTTAGACCATCGGGATTTTTTGTTACTGTTATTTCTTCAAAGCATTACATTTAAATACATAAAATACTTTCAAATGAACATTATTTAAATATATGCAGCAATGATACAAATCTCTTGTCTATTCAGGAGCTTTTTAACATATTATGGACACGATTGTTCTTTGAAAAACAGATAATGGCCTCTTCTCAGTAAACTGAAAATATGTTCATATATTAAAACCTTGCCTAATTGCATATTATTCAGAGTCCCTGAAAGTCTAAGAACATGTATTTGGGCCAATAATCATTTTAAATAAAAATTACAATCTAAATAAAATCTAGGGAAAGTCAGAACAGTAATTCTAAGAATTTCATTCCATCCCGATCCTACCCTCATGGAGCTTTAGAACCATTCTCCCCAACTCCCTTGGTCTTCATGCAAATTATCTTATATTTAGATTAATTGTTCAGAAAATATCAAAGTATACTACTTGAACTAGATATAATCAAATGCTACCTTACTTTGCAAATAGTTGTGAGTGTAAAAAAAGTTTATGAGCATTCAATGCTTACATCTGAAAATTACATTTTCTTTTTAACACATTATCATTTAATCTTTAATCATACATAAGTCAAAGGTACCCAACTTAAACATGTCATTCATTCCATCATAGATCTGTCACAATGTTTGTAATAAAGCAAGAGATTGACACCAAACAGAGGAAAATACTGACAAAAGTATGCAAAAGAAGAAAGCAACGAGCAATGAACAATTAATGCTGACCTGCAGCGGCATCTGCAAGTTGGGAGAGAGGCACAGAGTGCGCCATTCTCTGACTCTTCAGAAATGAAAAGAAATGCCTCCACAGTGCACTGGCGACCGCAGCAAGGTGGCGCTCTTTAGCCGATAATGAAGACTGAGCAATTAGGTCCACATTCTCCCTTTGAAATTCCTGACACAATTGTTGATGAGCACTCCTAAAAAGAAATAAACTATAGCTCACATTCAAGAAATCAAGGTAAAAATCTTTTCAACACATTTTACTCTTTTTCATGATTACATCATGGGAAAACTGAAGGAGCACTTATATAACTAAAATCTTTATGCCAAGGCATAATGCATTTCTTGTTATTTGAAGTATGAATGACATATGAAACACCATAAAGTTAATGTTAATTACTAATGTCAACCATTAATTATATGTTTTTTAATATGTCAGATTCAAATGAGAAATAGGCAGCTTCATATTAGGGTCTCCATTTTGCAATTTATGTATGACAATGATTTTCCTTAGAATCTAGACATGAAAATAATTTTTAAACCATTTTCTCTTGAGGTTTTTAGGGCACATATACTGGGAGGAAGATAAGAACATTGGCTCATGTGTGGTATTTTCAGCTGCCCATTTTTCTCACATAGGCAGAAAAGCAGCAATCCTTGGTGCTGGTATACAAAACTGTGGGGGGACAGTCTTGGTTACTGGACCAATAGGCTACAAAATCATTTTCACAGAGTAAACAACAAAAAATTCTGTTCATTAACACAGCATAATTCAATATTGTCTTAAACTATGATTTATCATTAATTACTTTTTGGTTAGCTAAACTTAAATTTTAAACATCTTTTGGACTCTAACAGAAACACAGGTGCAGAAAACTGAGGTTAGCAGCCTGTGCAGAGGAAGAACAGAGACTTCTCGATGACTGGGAAGAGAGGCATCGCAAAAGCAAGCCACAAACTAATAAAATGTGTGCTCAATGTGGAGTGAGGCCATTTCTTTGTCTGTTCCCGTCACTGCCATACCTAGAGAGCAGAAGTAACCACGGGGATTTCCAGCCTGCCATTTGTTCTCCTCAGCTGTACAGAAAACAATGAGATGCAAAAAAGAAAGGAAAGAAAACCCAAGGCTTCCGTTGACAGAAATTGTTTTTAACTAAGGAATGTAACCAATACATTAAAAGATAATTAATTTAAACGTACTTTTTCTTGATGCTTTAAGCAAAGTATTTAGGACATACACCTAAAGTAATTTTACAAAGTGGTTACAACAATACATCTTGTCACATAACTATACACCAGTGAGTAAAAATTCTAAATCTAAATTACATAATATGAGGAGCCTCTGCCTCTTTACATCAGATTTCTGTACAATCATGGGGCACTACTTAATCTTACTTTAGGTATGAAAAAGGTGTACGAATGTCTTGGCAAAGAACATATAGAAAGCTATTCTGAAAACAAAAACAACAAAAACAAAAGCCCTAGCTAAGTATCTGATGTGTTCTCTGTGTAAAAACCTGCCTGAGATGCTCTCAATTTAAATTAGAGGCTAAAAACTGAGCAGTTTAGGTCCTGTAGGTTAGAATACGATGAATCGTATGTTACTAGCATTCTTTGGAACTAATTCATCTGCTCCTGGTGACACAGAAAAGATCAGGAATGCCTTCTACACTAAAGCCCAACCAAAGCAGTCACTATTTCCCCTGAATTTTAGTATCTTTTTTCAGGTATACTGACTTTAAAGAATAATAAACACTGTATTATTCACTACTTCTATATAAGTCACTTCTTTATTCACTAAAACATACTCCCTAGGAAAAAATAACCTTTCTAATTAGTTTCTATGTGTAAGAAACTCTCTCCCTACAATGTTAATTAACCATCTCATCTGCTGTGATTGGTGGGCACACCTGTAATCTCTGCACACAGGAGGACAAAGCAGAGGGACCATGAGTATGAAGCTATTTTGGCTACACAGCAAGATCCTACCTCAAATATGGGGAGTGGGTGAGGGGATCAGGCCACCAAACCTCATAAGTAACAAAATAAACTCAGAGAAAATTAAAGATTTTAATATAAGACCTGAAAGAAACTACTAGAAGAAATACTTCAGGGCACTGAAGAGCCAAGGAACTTTTGGATAAGACCCCAAAACACAGGAAGAAAACACAAAAATAGACCACGAATATTAAGCTAAAACGTTTCTGTACCACAATGGAAACAATCAACTTAAAACAATTAAAATCAGAGAGAAAATATTTACAAACTACACATATGACAAAGTTCAAAATCTCATCATTAACAAAAGAAAAAATGACTCTAAAATATTTCAGACATGTCTCAAAAGACTACAGACAAGTAGCTAACAGGCATATGAAAAATAATATAAAAATTAAAACCACTATGAGGTATCTTCATTTTAGCAAAAAATGGTTTCTATAAGGGAGGAATTGTAGGGGAAGAAATGCAGAGTGGATTTGATTGAAAAACACTACATGCGTATATGAAATTCTCAATCAATACATCAATAAAATTTCTATTTGCAAAGGTATCTTTCTCTACTACTAACTTTTAAAACAGGGGAAAATGCTAATATAAGTCTGTACAGAAAGATTCATTTTTGTTCGCTTTTTTCCCCCCTGTACCCTTATATCTTAAAGATAGAGATGTAAATTACCTACTTGTTTTGTTTGCTTGCTTTTGTGTTGTGAGACAAGGTTTCATAGTGCTTGTAGCCCTGGCTGTCCTAGATCTCACTTTATAGACCAGGCTGGCCTTGACAGGTGAGATCACTACCTGTCATTACCTCCTGAGTGCTAGAATTAAAGGTGTGTACCACCACTGCCCCACTACTATCTACTGTTTTGAATAAAAATACACTCTGGTTTAAAGAGTGGTGGTTGGTATATTGGAAAATAGGCAAACTAGTGCTGGTGAGAATGTAGAGAAAGGGGAATCCTTTTACACTATTGTCAGGGATTTATTATGATTTTTTTTTGTTACTATGGGGGTTCCTCAAAAAATTAAAAGTGAAAGGCCATGAGCCAGCAAGCCCACGCCTGAGCATGAATCCAAAGGAAATGAAGGCATTGTGTCAGACATCTGCATCCCTATTTACTGCAACACTACTTACTACACACAAGAAATGGAAACAATGCTCCATCCGTCAAGTGATGAACGGACAGAGAAAACGTGATAAACATGAGAGAGTATTACTCAGCCATAAAAGAAGGAAATTCTGAGGCTGCAAGACAACTTGGCTGGTAAAATGCTTGCCAAGTGATGTAGTTAGTTTTGATTACTGTGATAAAACACCATGACCAAAAGCAAGTTGAGGGAAAAGGGTTGATTTGGCTAGGACTTCCACACTGTTGTATATCGTGGAAGTCAGGCCAGGAACTCTAAGAGGGAAGGCCCCTGAATGCACAAGCTGATGCAGAGGCTGTGGAGGTTTGACATTATCTCTAATGTCGGTACCGGAAAGGGGGCAGGAGGATCCCTTGGGGCTTGTTGGTCAACTAGACTAGTTGAGTCAGCCACCTCCAGGTTCTGTGACAGACCATGTCTTAATAACTAAAATGGGGAGCAAATGAAGACAACCAACAATGACCTCAAGCCTTCACACATATGGATATTCATGTGTTGCCACCTGCCTGCCTACTTCTTCCCTCCATCAAAAATGATAAAATATTCTGACAAATGGAGATCATGTTAAGTGAAACAAACCAGGTACAGAAAGTTCTGCTGTGCTATGCAGAGTGAGTATAGAAAATAATTACGTATTGCATATTACAAGCATAGAGGCTGGTGGTAGAGCTCAGTGGTAGAGGGCTTGCTTGAGCACAAGATCCAAGGATTAGTCCCTACTGGTACACACACACGCACACACACACACACACACACACACACACACACACACACACACACAAATTAATTAAAAATCTACTATAAATTTGACATACTCCAGACATTACACCATAAAGAAAGGATGAATGTCTAAAGAACTAGATACGCTTGAGCTGACATGACTGCGTCGCAGCAGATGAAAGCTCCATAACATGCTACACCACAAGATGAGCAAATGTTACGTTCTGACATGTCAGCTAAATGAAGAAAATCCAAAGCCCCTGAGATGACTCCTTACAAAAGTTGAAGCTGATAGCAGAAAAGTTAAATAATACATCCAAAGCTCATATAGCTGAGGGCTGACCCTGAAGGTCAGACACTTCCTTTACACACTAACTTACAACATACGGTCTTTTAACGATTAAACATTAATTGTTGCTGCTTTCTCATTTTACGGACTAAGAAAACTTCAGTGAGGAAGGAAGGACCTGGAGACACAAGGGTGAACCTGCGCACCGAAAAGCCAACAGCCATGGTAGAATTCTGCATTAGCTAAAACTAGAGAAAGACAAAACGTGTACTTAAGACAATTTTGAAAAGGACAACAGATACGCCCCACCTTTTACTTTTCCAGTAAAAAGTGAAGACACAGTAGGAATATCTACTGGTAACCCCAGGAATATGATTCAGAGATCTGAGTAGATAATGGTTAAGCACAAAGCTTACACTGCTAGTGCATTCCTTTCCAGAGTATGCAGAAAAAAGACAGGGTCTAATAAAAGCTGAGACACTGACCCCAAACTAAGTGTGTCTGAGAAATGTGCATCATTGAGTACTGCAGACTGGGAGAGCTGTGTACCCAGAATATGCAAACACTCCTATTTGGATCCCCAATGTTCAAACTTCATAAGTCTGTTGCACTCAGGGTGAATCATGACTCAGTCACAATTTCTCTATCTCTGAAGAAATGGCAAGCATCAGCCATTATGAAGGCTGAATCACACATCTGCATACAGCTACTGGTTAAAGATACCCATGCAGTCTCAGGTATTTTTAAAATCCAAATTTCTGGAAAGGAAAACTAATTATAAAGGATTTGTGAAAAAAAATGGTGTATTACAAAGTGCTGGCAGTAAAGGGAGCACCATCATTAGGGACAGGACTGTGAAAGAAGAAAACACTGGAAACATTATTAGAACTCCAGATGCCACAGATATCCTCAAAGATACTTTCTACCTTTTTGAATAATCAGAGGAAAATTAGAAAAGAGATTTGCTGCATAAAAGCTAAGGTTTACCAAAACTACACATAGACACTACACACACACACACACACACACACACACACACAC